GATATCTGTAGGAATTCTCCCCACTTCTCCCATCTCAGGCCACACCCTCCTTCCTGGGTCCCTGGAGGTGGGAGGGGATAACTTACATAGGCAACAAAGAGGGGGTTGGCACTACTGTTGAGCTGTTCCAGTTGGTTCTTGACCTGGGTCATAAGGTTGCTGGAACATGGGTGGTCCATGACACAGGAGACCTTGTCAGGAGTGGGGCTCCCTGCCCCAAGTTCCCAGTGCAGAACAAGCAGCAGTGACAGGATTCCTGGGAGTCGGCGAAAAGCTGCCAAGATCAGGATGGTGGGGACGGCAGTTCGAGGCTCAGGTCACACTGGATGCACTGCGTCTCCACCTACAGCTCTATCGCCACTGTCTCTCTGTCTCCCTCGACTCTATATTGCTATCCCTGCTTCTCTCCACCTGCTTATATCTCCCAGCACGACACAAGCTTTTCCCACCTACCGACTGGAACCTGGCTCTAGGGTGACACCCAATCATCCAGTCCTTTCCCTCAATAAGTCAAAAGCCCCTTGGTCTCTTGGCCCTCTGACTTGAGGGTGCCACTCCCCATCTTAATGGAATAGGACATGCCTATCTCTCCGTCTCCTGAGATGGCTCAGATTCCTAAGCATTTGTTCATGTACATCTGCCTAGAGCAACCCAAATCTCTCAATCTGGGCTCTCACTGGGACCACGGAGGGTCCTTTGCTGACCCTCTTCATCCTCCCAAACATGCCACCTGTTTTTAGCTCCCCAGGCCAATTGCCCCCTGATTTCCCATCTCCTTCGTCTATGTCCTTCCCCAAATACGGCCAACCTCCCTACCTTTGTTTTTGTTGTTGTTGCCAGTTGTTGCCATCGAGTCAGTTTTGAACCATGGTGACCCATGTGTGTCAGAGCAGAATTGTGCTCACAGGATTTGCGATGACTGATTTTTCAGAAGTAGATCACCAGGCCTTTCTTCCAAGGACCATCTGGGTAGGCTCAAACCTCCAACCTTTTGGTTAGCAGCTGAGCACATTAACCGTTGCACCATCCAGGATTTCCCCTTCTCCCTAGTATTTGAATTTAGGGCAGCGGTGACCAGGAAGGTTCTGTTTCTTCTACCATGAACACTGAGCTCCCTGGGCGCAAAGCCTGGCACATGGAAGGTCTTCCCAGGCTTGACCAGGTGAGTGGACAGATGACAGAGAGAACATGAAAATGAGTGAACATGAGCAGCATCTCTCACCAGCTGAGTGATGTCAGGATGGTCCCTTAGGCTCCCAGGGCCTCAGTTTCCTCATCTGTAAACGGAGACAGTCACCTGACCCCACCTTCACAGAGTGGCTGGGAGAAGCTAAGATGGGTGAGAAAACACCTTGTAAACTGTAAAGTGCAGGGCTGGCACAGGCTGTGAGCTTGTGTATCTGGTGGGGTAGGTGATGGTGTTGGGAGTCCCCCTGTCCTATTGAGTCCTCCTGAGAGCCCGGATGGAGAAGGCCCAGCTGGGTACCGGGGCTGCCCTGCCACCTCCACCACATGGACAGGAGGCCTCTCTCTCAGGTCTCCTACCAGCCTGGAATCGGGACACCTGAGGTAGAGGAGGAATCAGCTGTGAGGGTGGTCCTTCCTGCTCCCCCTTCCCAACCAGCCTGGCCTGTGGCCTTGGATCAGAGCTGTCAGGATCCTGCAGGCACAGGGAGAGAGTGGGCCTTTCCCTGCAAGAGCGTGTAGGTGTCTGGGATTCACTTGGCTTTGTCCATCTCCCCCGTGGTGGGTGGGCTGGGTCCTGCTCTTAGAGCATAACGTCTCCCTGCTCATGGGATCCTTCCAGCAACCTTGTGAAGGAGATAGACCAGTGGTCATCATTATTACTCTCGCAATTACACCGATAAGAGAGCTGAGCTCACCCGAGAGGGACAGCTGCTCATGGTCACAGGACGGGATAGAGCAGAGCCAGGGCGAGCACCTGGGCACCCGGGCAGTGCCCCTTCCTCCTGCTGAGTGAGTGTGTTTGCCTCCTGTTTGGAGGGTGACCCAGTCACTGATTCTCAGTCCTTTGTTCTCTCTGACCCAGGGTGGGGCAGACAACAGAACTGCTGCCCTCTCCTCGGGACCAGAGAATTCCCCAGACAGAGCAAGGGCAAGAACCCGGGGCCAGAGTACTGGGCGGCCCTACTGCCCTGCAGGCGGGCATTTGGGGTCTGTCATTATACTCCCTTTCTGGCCTAGGCGTTTGTTTTGTTTTTTCTAGATTCCTAGTAAAGGGATTTTTGCAGAACTTCAACAGTGTCTCAGATGAGTGGATTGGACACCAAGGAAAACTGGATGTGGCTGGCCTTCACGTGGTAGGCGAATAAGTATGGCAGGTATGGCTGGTGCCCTGGATGCTGGTTGGTTGGGGGTGGGGGTGGGGCACCAATGAGCAGTTTCTATTGGCCGATGCAGTTTCTATCGCCAGCTGTGAGAAATCATTCAGAAATTTCAAACTAATTCCACAGATAAGAGGCTGGCTGTGGGTTTAGCCAGCCAGGCAGGGAGGGGCCAAGACACTGGAACTCACCTTGGGGAAAAGGAGTCAGAAACAGCTGGGGGTCGGGCTCCAGTCCCTGCCCGGTGGCCTCTCCCTTCCCAAGCAGCTGCCTGTGCTGCTGTGGTGATCTGCATTTCGGGAAAGTTCTAGACCGGTGAGGAGTAAGGAATGGAGGGGCTACAGGGCAGCGTTTTCAGACTTCAGTGTGCACACAGATCCCTGGGACCTTACTAAAAGGCTGACTCCCATTCAGCAGATCTGTGGGTGGGGCCGAGTCTCTGGGTGATGCGAATGGTTGAAGTGCTTGGTTGCTAAAGGAAATGTTGGAGGTTTGAGTCCTCTCAGAGGTACTTTGAAAAAAAAGCCTGGTGATCTAGTTCTGAAAAATCAGCCATTGAAAACCCTGTGGAGCACAGTTCTACTCTGACACACACGGGGTCGCCATGAGTCGGAGCTGACTCGATGGAAACTGGTTCTATGCCCAGGGGGAATTCATTTATTACACTAAATAACCACATTTTCAGAAATAAATATTAATGTCAAAGTGGAAATGAGATGTATTTGTTTCCTTTTAAACAGCATGTAAGGCTCTTACAACAGAATGCACACGATAAAAATACTGATAAAATAGATAAAGGGAGTCAGAATCAAGAGAAAACATAAGCAGACCGATGAAATCAACATCACAGAAATAAAATAAATAAATGCTTCAGTTTACAAGGGGCCACATAGTTACCATGGCCAAGCTTCAAATCTGGCTCCGAGACTCCTGGCAGCAAAAGGAAAAAGGGAAATAGGATGTGTTATGTGATTCTTATGATTAAAAAGGAGGATGCTTTCCCAAACCTCAGGGGAAGCAGAGCCCATCCTGAGCCTGGGTTCTAAAGGAAATTTCTTTTGAGATCCCTGGGTGGGAGAGTGTGAGGGATGAGAGACCGTTGACGTCCCACCCAAGGTGGCATCTTCCATTAAGGATTACAGGCTGAACTTGCTGTGGTCTTTGCAAAAGCTGGTACCCAATGTCAAATGCAGCCCAATGAAGGGGATTCTACAAGAGGCCTGGGTGACCCAGCACTAACTGGGGCTTTAGCCCAATCCAAGGGGAGTCTGTTGAGTCCTAGGGTGGGGCAGGGACTGAACATGCCTTGGAAGCTTCTCACTGCCCCCAGGGTTATTTTCTTTGCTTTTTCTTTAAAAAAAAAATTGTGTCAAAAGTATATATAACTAAATATTTGCCATTTCAACATTTTTTACCTGCACAATTCAGTGACATTAATTATCATATTGTGCAACCATCACCAGTATCCATTTGCAAATTTTTCCATCACCCTTAAAAACTCAGTGCCCCCTCAACAATGACTCCCCCTTTCCTTCTCCCTCCCACTCCTAGTAACCGCTAATAAGTTTTGGTGGTTATTTGCCAATTCTAGGTATTTCATATAAGTGCAGTCATACAATATTTGTCCTTTTGTGACTGTTTTTTTCACTCAGCATAATGTTTTCAAGGTTCATACATGTTGCAGCATTTATCAGAACTTGTTACTGTTAGGTGCCATCGAGTCAGTTCCAACTCATAGCGACCCTATGTATCACAGAAGGAAACATTGCCCAGTCCTGCGCCATCCTCACAATCACTGTTATGCTTGAGCCCATTGTTGCAGCCACTGTGTCAATCCATCTCATTGAAGGTCTTCCTCATTCTCACTGATCCTCTACTTTGCCAAGCATGATGTTCTTCTCCAGGGACCGATCCCTCCTGATAACATGTTCAAAGTATGAGAGACGAAGTCTCGCCGTCGTTGCTTCCAAGGAGAATTCTGGCTGTACTTCTTCCAAGAGAGATTTGTTCGTCCTTTTGGCAGTCCGTGGTGTATTCAATATTCTTCTCCAACACCATAATTCAAATGCATCGATTCTTCTTCGGTCTTCCTTAGTCACCGTTCAGCTTTTGCATGCATATGAGGCAATTGAAAACACCATGGCTTGGTCCAAAAAAAAAAAAAAAAGAAAAACTAAAGCAGTTGCTGTTGAGTGGATTACAACTCATAGCAACGCTATAGGATGAAGTAGAACTGCCCCATAGGGTTTCCAAGGAGCACCTGGTAGATTTGAACTGCTGACCTTTTTGTTAGCAGCCATAGATCTTAACCACTACATCACCAGGATTTCCTGCCTTGGGTCAGGCACACCTTATTCTTCAAGGTGACATCTTTGCTTTTGAACACTTTCAAGAGATCTTTTGCAGCAGATTTGCCCAATGCAATGCATCCTTTGATTTCTTGACTGCTGCTTCCATGGGTGTTGATTGTGGATCCAAGTAAATGAAATCCTTGACAACTTCAGTCTTTTCTCTGTTTCTCTTGATGTTGCTTATTGGTCCAGTTGTGAGGATTTTTGTTTTCTTTATGTTGAGGTATAATCCATACTGAAGACTGTAGTCTTTTATCTTTTTTAGGAAGTGTTTCAAGTCCCCTTCACTTTCAGAAAGCAAGGTTGTGTCATCTGAATAACACAGGTTGTTAATTAGGCTTCCTCCAACCTGATGCCCCATTCTATCAGACAATGTTCCACTGCTATTCAAAAGGTTTTCACTGGCTAATTCTTTTCAGAAGTAGACCACTCTGTCCTTCTTTCTAGTCTGTCTTAGTCTGGAAGCTCAACTGAAACCTGTCCGCCATGGGTGACTCTGCTGGTATTTGAATACCGGTGGCATAGCTTCCAGCATCACAGCAACACGCAAGCCCCGACAGTACGACCAACTGACAGACGTGGGGATATCAGAACTTAACTTCTCTTTATGGCGAATAATATTCCAGTGTGTGTCTATGCCACATGTTGTTTATCCATTCATCTGCCGATGGATGTTGAAGTTGTTCCTGCCTTTAGGCTACTGTGAATAGTGTGGCAATGAATGTTGGTGTACGAGTTACCCCCAGGGTTTTACAACCTTTTTACTGATGTCTAATATACTACCAAAATGTACATCAGATGACTTTCACCCTCTTAGACGATTTTGTGAGGGCTGGAGCAAGCAGGGAACACGTGAAGGATGGCGTCGGGGGAGGAGGCTTGGGGAGTCAGTGGGCCTTGAGTCTTTGTGCCTGCCTCATTCCCTGGCCACTGGTCTGGAGTCCAAATAGAAAGCATCTATGGGCCACTGGCTTCAGCATCAGCAGAGCCCTGGTTGTGCAGTTGTTAAGTGCTTGGCTATTAACTAAAAGGTCGGTGATTCAATCCCACCAGCCGCTCAGTGGGAGAAAGATGTGGTAGTCTGCTTCTGTAAAGATTACTGACTTGGAAACCCTATGGGGCAGGTCTACTCTGTCCTAAAAAGGGTTGATATGAGTTGGAATCAACTCGACGGCAACGAGTTTTCGTTTTTGGTTTCGGTGTCGAGGACAGTTCCCACGCTGCTGCCCACCCTACTGAAGGACCCCACCTGCTCAGCCTGCCTCTGTTCCTTTAACGTGGAGTAGCAGCACCCTACTCCAGCCTCACTTAAGAAACCAAATATTTCAAATATGAGGACGTGGTCAAGGCCTGCCCACTCCATCTGATCCTCAGTGATCAGTGACTGGGGTGAAGAGAAGGTCTAGCTCCTGCCCAGACAGTCAATGAATCAAAGCCAGAAAGGGCTCTACCTGTCAGCAGGCTTTCTCCCTGGTCCTGTTCACGAAGTCCCCACCCTCCACCCCCACAGGTAGCAGGCAGCCCTCGCAGCTACCTAAAAGGACCATTCTCCGCAGAGGAACATGCTGCATGTGGGGCCCCCATGGTAGCTGTGGGTCTGGGACTCTTGTCCTCCTCAGCTTGCTCTTCTTGTCCTGTCTTGGGAAGGGGCATCACATACATCGCCCACTGTAGTGAGTTGAATGGTGGCTGCCCAGAAGATATGTCCAGAATACACTAGGCTTGAAGGCTAAAGACCATAGACTTGGGGGACATCTATGTCAATTGGTATAACGTAGTGTCTAAAAGCAATGTTCAACATCCAACTTTGGTGAGAAACCCCAAGAGTATGGACCCCAGATACCCTTTTAGCTCAGTACTGAAGTCACTCCTGAGGGTCACCCTTCAGCCAAAGATTAGACAGGCAAATAAAACAAAACGAGACTAATTGGGCACACCAGCCTAGGGGAAGGATGAGAAGGCAGGAGGAGACAGGAAAGCCGGTAGTGGGCAACTCAAGTTAGAGAAGGGGAGAATGTTGACATGTTGTGGAGTTGGCAACCAATGTCAGTCACAAAACAATAACCCATACCTGTTGCCATCCAGTCAATTCCGACTCGTAGCGACCCTACAGGAACTGTCCTATAAGGTTTCCAAGGAACAGCTGGTAGATTCAAACTGCCGACGTTTTTTTTTTTTTTTATTGTACTTTAGGTGAAGGTTTACAGA